ACAACATACACAATTTATTGTAAATTTTATACAACATGATCCACCAAATTGTATTGCCAATAAATGACTAATATCCGCTAAGTTGAATTAATCTTGACCAGTATAAATACTAATAATAATATTACAAAGTAAAGTTAAAATTTTTATGTTTTTTTGACGATACTAATTATAAATACAAAGTAGGGGAAAAAATAATGAAATATTGACTTTTTATCAAAATTTGATTTATATAACAAATTTTATTGAGCTAACATTGATGTTGTTATGTCGGTTAATTATGAGATCATTCAAGTCATTTGATATACAATCAAGAAGATATTTAAATTAATTTTTTGTTGTTATATCAAGTATTAGGGAAACTTTTTAAAAAGAAATACTCTTTCATTTCTATAATTTATTTTCTGATCTATTTGACAAATACAATATGTTATTCTTTAAAGATAAAACAATATAATAAGACTCTATTTTCAGCCTAACCTCTTCACCCAATATAAATCTACATATTATTTTGAGTGGCCAACGGAAATTTCTGTTATGTTTGTTGCTGCAGGAAAAGGATTAAAGTCAATGAGATGTTAAAGGCGATAAGAGCGGCGTTACGGGAATTCCTATGATACAACATTGCTACTGTCAAGTGTTATTTTTACAATATAGAGATTTTTTTAATGTAAGATATTTTAAATCAATTCAAATGATTGGTTGACTTACAAATCAAAAGGCTGCTGTAATTACATATATGATTATTCTCTATATATTCTTACATTTTTTGATACATTATTGAGTATTATAGAGGCAAAATTTGTCAGTCTACCTAAGAGAATTATGTGATATAGCGGCGTGTATATGTGAATATCCTTGCGGCCCTCTTGACTCATTTATCTAATGATTTTATAGATTAAAAAAATATTTTAGTGAATATTCTTGAGGCCCTTTTGACTCTTTTATCTAATATTTTTATAAATTAAAAAAATTATTTTATTTTGGTACATGTATCTTTTATGTTATAATATTAAAATGTCAATTGTTTATAATATTATGTTGTTAGATTAATATTATGTTGATATTAATTAAAACAATCCATTATAACTTGTTTTGAGATTAAGGAGTACAGAATTGTAATTTGATATCATAAGCATATACACATTTTCGTATAGACTCTGGTTTTCGTGATACCTTGACATAATAATTGTTCTTTTTTCTTTCAATTAAATTAACTTATGCTAATAGCTTTTGAGTATTTTGTCTTCTGGATTTGATTGTGATTCATATTTCATAGTTTGGTTCTTTCCTTTCCGATTTTCTTTTTACACATTCAATGTTTGGCCTCTATGATGACCGCGGACTTACCTCGTCTAATATAATACTTATTTGCATTCAATCGATATTGATATCAAATCAAGTAATTTAATTTTATTATTCATAGAAGACAGTTCAATTTTATGGATTATTGATTTACTATACTCCCTTCCTTTCATCTCAAGATAGTGCTATTATTTAAATCTTGTTATTTAAAGCTTGCTACGTAGAATGGTAAAATTAGAAAATTTACCAAAAATAATCCTTATTAAGTATTCCTTTCACCTCAAGATAGTGTTATTATTTAAATCTTGTTATTTAAAACTTTGCTACTTAGAATGGTAAAATTGGAAAATTTGCTAAAAATAATCCTTATTAAGTAATTTTTTGAGACTTTTTTCATAGTTTAAAATAAGTGATTTTTTATAAGTTCTAGGCATATTTTTTTCTTCATATTTACCCTTTATTTTAATGAGGTTTTTAACCACTTTACCTTTTCTAAAAGAATAGAAACAATCAAAAAAATAATAGCGAAAAGTGACTTTTTATTTTTGTCCTCAAATATTTTTTCTTATTAGATCATCTAATAGCTGGTTAGAGTTATATATATATATTAGTAATGTAAGAATTAATTCCGAGCAAATATGATATTGCTTTGTTACATATATTATTTATTTCACCTTTTATCATACATTAAAAAAAATACATAAATCTCCTTATAATTTATACATACATTACTTACTTAAATTTCCAAATTATATATATAAAAAATACCCTTCTCCCTTTTCTTTTTGTTTGTTGAAACGTATGGAATTTAACATAAGATGCATATAAATTTGTCATTTAGCTATATTTTTTTATAGGGAAATGTAGCCAACCCAAAGTATTTTGTAAGTAGCGGGACACAAAAGTCCGACAATACAACATAGTTTCCTCGGACTCATTCACAAGACTAGTGTGAACATAAAAAAAACTCCTCGTAAACTTGCATTTTAGTTACCCACAGAATTGAACTACTAAGTAGTATTTTGCTACATTAATTAGTTATGGATGGTCGTATTTTCTGGTATTTGGTACTATGTGTAAATGCTTTTAATGAATCTGAACTAACTTCCAATTATGTACAACTGTATCCTCTTCATATTTTTTTTTCCATATAGACACGTAAAAAAATGGGAAAAATACTAAAACAGCCAGCTTGTTACTCTTTGTCTAGTTCTTTAGTTTTTTCGAGTTTATCCTCTTAAAGACTTTTTTCTCTGGAAAAGGAAAAATGAGCTAAGCATTTTTCTGATTATTTGTTTTTGTTTGCTATACATGCCAGTTTTCAATCATTAAAAGCAAGAAAATTTGGGTGATGATTATTGATGAGCATGTAGGATAGTATATGTTTTAATATGGATTAGTGAGCTTAAATTAAGTTGGAGTTGTAATATAAACATAGGATTAGGAGCAAATATGAGACAATTTTGCTTACATTGGAAATTATGTTTTACATTATTAAGTAGTGGTTAGTGGTTACAATTTGTAGGGTATTAAATGGATGGATTGAAAAGAAATTGAGCAAGTTAAAATGGATTGAGTTAATAAATAGATTGGACTGAAATGAACATAAAAATTTACTTGGGTTGAAATTAATTTAAAAATTACTTAGGCTGAAATTAGTTAGCAACTAACATTGGATTGGGTAATAACATGTCAATTTTATTGAGTGGTCCACTTCCTTCCACCCTAAAACGAACTTGGAATTCAACTCCAATTTAGGCCTTGAGACTCGAGCATTGATCTGTCACTTGTCAATCAAACAACTCTAACCCGAAACCTGATCTTCGGCCTGTTTAAGACCTACTTTCGATTTGAGACCTGATCTTGACTTGAACTTAAACCCTAAATTCAAGACTTAATCCTTGACTTAGGACCCAATCTCAAATCCTTTTCAGGGACTTGAGTCGAGATCGATCCTTATTCGATGTCAATAATTAAGCCACTCGAAACACAACATTGTCTCAAAATTTGAGATTCTGTCCTAACTCTGACCTAGGACTTGAGCCCTAATATGATATCATGCATGATTGCTTTGGTCATATGTATAATAAAATGTTATCATAGACGATTGTTTCAGTTATTTAACAAGACACTCCTCAATCCTCCGTGAGTATCATCATATACTATGGTATAGTATCATAAATGACTACTTTCAGTAACCATTGAATGCTAACACACAACAATTAATAATAAAATTATAAAAATATGTTTCCATTAACTTAGATTTTTATATAAGCCAGTGACTTTAGTTATTTATGAATATTCACATGGTATATATCATATACTAACATGGTATCATTGAAGATTGATTCATTTTTTAATATTTTCTATTAAATTAGATTTTAAATTTAGTGACTTTAGTTATTTTCTCTTAATTATTTCTTGCTAGTTCTTTCAAAAAAAAAAAAAGCTCAGTCCTATATCATCAATCTGGTTTATTTATATATAGACAGAGTATCATATATGAATATGACTCATTTATATATGTCTATCATGTTGATATCATGTTCATGCACGAAAAAAGAAGGATGTGTAAACCTTTAATTAGTTTAGGTCGAATAAATATTGAGAAAATAAGAAGAGTGGATAAAACACGGTAATTGATTTACTTTTATGGGATAGTTTATGTAATTTCCTAATTGAAAATCACTTTAAAAATGAGTTATGTTGGATTAGATTAATATTGACTAACTTTCACATATAATAAATATAAAAATTATATTTGTATGTTATAACTATACTTATATATAATTGAGCTCCATAGCAAACATAAATATGTATATTTCGCTGTACATATACAAAAAAAAAAGAGCTATATAATTCACTATACATATGCAAAGAAATCAGTTGTAAAATTCACTATACATATGCAAAAGAAAACAGTTGTATACAAAAGATCAATTGTATAATTTGTGTATGTATAAAATGAGAAAGAGAGAAAGACAAAAGAAAACTAGGCAGAGAAATATTTCTATTGTGTAATTATAAGTGTATAGGATGAAGATATATGTATTTGGATGTATATATACAAGTTTCTTTCGCTTTATACAAAATAAACACAATTTAGATACACACAATTTATACATTTCATTTATGTTTGTATAAGCGAGAGAGGCGAGGGTGGCGAGCGAGATCTGGGAAAGAGAAACGAAAGTATATGTATATATACAATTTTCTCTCGCTTTATACAAACACAAACACATTTTATACATTTGCGTTTGCGTAAAAGCGAGAGTGGCGAGCGAAATTCCACCAGAGAAAAGCAAAAATAGAAATAATTTGCTATATGATACAATTAAATCAAAATACATGTATAACATTTAATTTGAACTAATAATTTAGTATTATATACGATTTTCCTATTAAAATTAGCCCAATATAAAATTATCTTTACCCATCCATAAAAGTTTAGGCAAATTAAGTAGGCCATCAGTTTTTGGGCCATAACGCCCCCAAACCCCAATTCTTTTTTTTACCCTTTCCTCAAAAAATAAAAAGGAAAAGAAGAAGAAAACTATAAACTGTATACTGAGCTGTAACACTTTCTCTTGGACACCTTAGCTTCAAAACAAAATAAACACATAAGCAAAGCCCTTGTATAAACTAGACACACAAATTAAGGATGATCATCTTGAAATAAATAATAATTAAAGAAAGGAAAAAAAAATAGAAATATGATCAAAAGTTACACTTGACATGTATCATAAAGTTCTCCATGTAAGCAGCCACGTATCGTATAACACTTGCAATATTTAGGCCCAACTTCCTGCTTAACTCACCTATAAATACCCTCTATCTCTCAGCCCATTTTCATTTCAAAACCAAATTTCCTTCTCAATTTTTCAAATATTTGTACACAATGTCATCAAACTCCAAGAAGTTGATTCCAGCTACATCCCGCAAGGGATGTATGCGGGGCAAAGGTGGCCCCGAAAATGCTAATTGCACGTACAAAGGTGTACGTCAACGCACTTGGGGTAAATGGGTAGCCGAGATCCGCGAACCCAATCGCGGAGCTCGGCTTTGGCTCGGCACCTTTGATAATTCTTATGACGCTGCTGTTGTCTATGACGCTGCGGCCCTTAAGCTCTATGGTGCCGAAGCCAAACTCAATTTACCCCATCTTTACAACAATCAGGCCCAGGCCCAGGCCCAAATCCAGAACTCTAAGCCCATTACCATCATGAGCCCATCTCTATCTCCCGTTTCAACTACTACTGCTCAAGCTTCTTCTCCGTCTGTAACTTCCGTTTATAATGTGGCTTCGCCGTCAACTTGGAGCGTAGGAAGTGATGATTCATCCTTTTATTTCAACAGCCACGATTTCGGTATCCATAATGATATTCCATCCGCATTTAATTTAATCGACATTAATAAAACAGCTGATGATTATTCCGTTGATAATGCTACTAACAATAATCAAAGCAGTGAAGTACTTGGTGGAGAAATGTTTAGAGATCTAAACATGAATTTACCAGAAATTGATGATTCATCAATTTGGGAAGAAGCTAAGGCAACAACTTCATTTCAAGAAGCAGTGAATGATCCAGGAATAGGTGGATACAACTTGGATGATGACCTTAATTTTCCTCCATGGTGTGGTTAAATTATTATTATTATTATATATATATGGTAAAAAATATATATATAAAGGGAAAAAAAATGCATGCAATATATATATATATATATATATATATATGTATACTTGTAAAGGTATTAGAGCATGCAAGTGGATAAGGCATGTTGAAGTTTTTTATTTTATGTATATAGAGAAGAAGCTACTACTAAAAGTGTGTAGTCATTAATATGACGTGTAATATAGTTAGTGTGTTGAGAAGCAGTATATGGAACTGTAAAAATGTTCAACTTGTATTTAAGTTTAAGAAAAAATAATATCGATATATGTAAATATTTTTTGTATGAATCTACTAGTTTAGTAAGAGTAGTTTTCTATGGTGGTGTTGTAGTTAATATGTTTCTTGGAGTTTGTTTCTTTTTTCTTCTATTTTTTTTTATTGAATTTAAGTGTTTAAAATAATCGACATATATATCGTGCTATAAACTTTATATTCTCACTCTTTTTTGTGTTATTAGGTGATCAATATAAAAATATTTTAAAATATATCACGTGAAAGTTATCACTATAAAGAAAACTAAAAAAAAAGAGAATCATTTGCTATATATATGCTTTCTTTACTAAGCTATGTATATAGGAGAAGATAGTCAATTAATTAAATAATTAGATGGGCGTTCAATAGTTGATGCCTCATCTTTGTGTGAAACAGGAATTGGACGTATATACGACATTGAGTATATATATCAAACACAGTTTATAACGTATGAAAATACGTGATGTTTACGTTTTTCTAAAATAATAAATTTCTGATTTATATTTTATTTTTGTCGTATTATTTTTGTCCTCTTTAGCCCGCTCATCTCAACCTCCTCCGATCATCTCCCTCGTTCTCCTGATCAAACCACCATGACGTACCTGCTATTGCCACCACAACTTCCTTCTTCTTGAGACTCGATCATGAACCACCTCCTTGCATTTACTCCTACCCAAAATAGATTTCAATTATTTAGGTGTCTCTATGAACTCATCTTTTTTTTTATTATTGAATCATCGTTGTTATCGTCGTTTCCATCACATCTTCCTGCCACAATAACCTCGTCATAGCTCTTAATCCCTCTCTTTTTAGATCCGTCCATCACCACCATTTTTTTCTTCTCCTACTTTAGGTGTCTTATTGTTATCGCCGTTTCCACCACTTCCTCCTGCCACAGTAACCTCATCCTAGCTCTTAATCCTTTCTTTTTAGATTCGTCTATCACCACCATTTTCTTCTTCTCCTACTTTGGGTGTCTCCATGAACTCATCTTTTTTTTATTGAATTATCGTTGTTATCGCCATTTCCACCAGTTCCTCCTCTTACAAGGACCTTGTCCTAGCTCTTAATCCTCTCTCTTTAGATTCGTCTATCACCACCATTTTCTTCTTCTCTACTTTGGATGTCTCCATGAACTCATCTTTTTTATTGAATCATCGTTATTATCGCCGTTTCCATCACCTCCTGCTGCCACAATAATCTCGTCCTTGCTCTTAATCCTCTCTTTTTAGATTCGTCCATCACTACCATTTTCTTGTTCTCCTACTTTGGGTGTCTCCATGAATTCATCTTTTTTTTTATTGAATCATCGTTGTTATCGCCTTTTCCACCACCTCCTGCTGCCACAATAAACTCGTCCTAGCTCTTAATCCTCTCTTTTTAGATTCGTCCATCACCACCA